ATCTGTGGGCAGTAAAAATTAGTTTGGAAATGCGGTGATCACTCACCCTCTGTGCTTTTGCTGGGAACTGCAATCCAGAGCTGTTCCTATTTGGCCATCTTGGATCCTCTCACTATCAGTTATTCTTACAAATAAAAATAATATTCAATGAAGTGACTGGTTGAGCCCAAATTCAAACACTCGAGTACTTCTTTACAAGACCACCATTGTACTTTGAGATGCAGAAGTGTTATGTGTATTTGCCATTTTATTATTACAAAATATAAAAAAGACATACACTAAAAGATTTGATTTAATAAAATAATTTTACCACTTTATCAAGGACATTTGTTTAGAATTTTATCTTTCTCTGCATCTATTGACATTTTTTTTCTTTTAATTTGTCAATGTGATAAATAACATTTGTGAAAGTGTCAAATTATCTTTATATACCTTTGATATATCCGAATCAGTCCTTATGCACTATTATTATTTTTTTAATTGTATTTGGGCTCTGTGGTACATGTGCACATCCTGCATCCTGCAGGATTGTTGCATAGGTACATACATGCCATGGTGGTTTGCTGTCTCCATCCCCTTCTCTGTTGGATTCAATTTACTAGTATTGTCTTTGGGATACCTGTATTTATATTTTGAAGTGAAATTAGTTCCTGCACTTTTCTTTCTTGTCCTCTTTTCTGCTTTGATATCAAGTGATAATTACGACATAAAACTATTTGGCAAGTTTCATTTCTTTTTCTATTCCCTGCAAATTTTTTTTAACTGGATAATCCATAACTTGCTAAAAGTTACTTATAAATGGATTTGTATTTGTGATATACTTACATGTTTATATATCTGAATATTTAAAATGATTGTTTACATTCTACTAGTTATAGGATTATCTATTTTGTCCATTTCTTCTTGAATCAGCTTTGACAAGTCACAGTTTTTCAAGGATTTATTTTGTTGAAATGTTCAAAATTGTTGGCATGTAGATGTTGATGATATTCTCCCTTCATCATCCTAATATTGATGTTATCTTTAGTTTTTACCCCCATTCTTCCACTGTAATGTTTGCTTGTGTCTTTTCTTTCTTCAATCAATATCCCAGAGGTTTATTCACTTCATTTCTTTCTAAGAACCAATCTTTGGCTTTTAAAATCTTCTTCATTATATTTTTGGTTTATATTTTATTGAGTTCTATTCCCAATTTATTAAAATATCTCCTTTTCTCTGTGTTCTCTGGGATCACTAAATTGTTCATTTGTTCCAGAATCCTCCCCTTCTACTGGCCCTACTACCACTGCTACTTTTGAATATCCATTGATGTTTGAGAGTTTTGTTTTGAGGGGTGAATGGAATTCTTGCATGAAGAGAAGGAAGGTGAGGCACTACAAAAGTAAAAGATAGGATGGTCTTTCCAAGGACAAGGCCTGGCTTCCTACAGAGAAAAGTCATGCTGCAGGAAAGGGCAAGAGAGTGTTGTTTTGAGGCTCGAAAGATAAAATCAACCCAACCCAGAGCACAAGAGGAATCTTGTTGGCATTTCTGCATGAACCATATGGGCTGTGTCCAGAGTGACTGTATGTCAGCATTGAAGTGGTACATGTTGTACCTGTTAGAGCATCAGGAAAGGGGAAGCCTCACCCAGGGCATCTGTGGTAGGGGTAGTGCAAAATGTCTTCTCCAAAGAGCTTGAGGGTAGCAGGCTCCTTAGAGAAGCCAGACCTCTGGATTATAAGTGAATGGGTGCTGGAGAACATGAGAGACCTCCCTAGGCCATAACTGGGTATATATAGGTAAACCTAGGTCTGTGGGCCTATGATCAAGCGGGTTTAAATACAGTATTTGATCCTGTAAAATCTGTTAGTAGTGTTAGCATGACATTATTTATTGCCAAGGCTTGTGAGGTCTGGGAGGCACTGGAATACAAATTATGTCTTTTCTTTAGCACAGATGGAAATGCTCGTTCTGAGCTGGAGCTGTATCCTGATTACTGTTGCATATCCCATAGCATAATGCCTTACATACGGTGAAGGATATTTCCGGTCTCCAGTTCAATCCCCTTTCCAAAATTACCTTCATTTAAGCCTCTGAAAGGGTCTCCTTAGGAGTCTTCCCAGAGCTTGATGCATGTCCTTGTTCCTCAGGCTGTAGATGAAAGGGTTCATCATGGGTGTCAACACCGCACACATCACTGTGGCTACTGAGTCCTTCATAGAGTAGGTGTGCAGGGGCTGCAGGTATACCATAGCAAGTGTCCCATAAAAGAGAGATACCACACCCAAATGTGAGGCACAGGTAGAGAAGGCTTTGTATTTTTTAGAGGCTGAGGTTATTTGAAGGATGGTTCTGACAATACGTACATAGGACGTGATCATGAACCCTAAGGGTGTAAAGAAGATAAAGCAGCCACTGGTAACCAGCACTGTGTGAATGATGTGGGTGTTGGAACATGCCAACCGCAGCAGGACGTACATCTCACAGAAGAGGTAGTAGATCTCTTGAGGCCCACAGAAGGTCACCCTGGTCATGAGGAGGGTGAGGAGGAGACCATAGAGAACAGACAGCCCCCAACACAAGCAGAGGAGCAGGATACAGAGCCCAGGGCTCATGGCTGTGACATAGTGGAGGGGGCGGCAGATGGCCACATAGCGATCATATGCCATCACAGCCAGGATGAGGTTGTCCAGGGCCACCAATGAGACCAGGAAGTAGAGCTGCGTCAGACACCCTACAAAGGAGATGGCTTTGTTCTGGGACTGGAGGTTCACCAGCATCTTGGGGATTGTGTTGGTGACAAAGAAGAGGTCAGTGAAGGATAGGTTGGCTAGGAAGAAGTACATGGGCGTGTGCAGGCGGGAATCAGAGCTGATGGCCAGGATGATGAGCACATTTCCCACCACCGTGACCAGGTACATGGACAGGAACTTCCAAAACAGGATCCGCTGCTGCTCAGGGCTCTCTGAGATTCCCAGGAGTAGGAACTGTGAGTTCTCACTATGGTTATCTCCATCCATTCCCCCAACTTTCTGCAAATTAACACCAACAAATATTTAAGTGCCCTCATTTGATTAAGGACACAAAGATAAGCAAAATCAACTCTTCTCTCAGCATTAAACTATCTTGGACTAAATTTTAAAAATAATAAAAGCATCAGGTTATTATAAGTGCAAAAACTTAATTATTCCAGCAACTTCTAACCTGACTTACTTTCATAAAAACAATGTCTATGCCTTATTTTTAATCCTGCCATCTTCCAATAGTCTTGAAATGTTTAACATTTAGTTGTTATGTTATAATTTCATATAGGGTTTTACATGGTATTTAATACAGGCATATGCATTACAAGAAATGATTTTTGTCCAATTGGAAGTACAGAAATCAAATATTGGAAAAGAGAAAGAATAATTATTATTACTTGCTGATATAATGACCTCTCTGGGAAATCTAAGAAAATCATTGGAAACATCATTAGAAAAAAAAAAAGATTTTTGTGATTAGCCAGTGAAGTGACCAGACAGAAAACAAATAGACCCTAAACTTTCATGGTCCCAGTAAGCCATGTAGTGCAGTGATAAAGACCGTCCTCTGGGAAGTCTATATTAAAGTCTAAGCACTGCCACTGCCTGGCTGTAATGCCTCAGGCAGGTCACTTGTGTTCTTTAAGACTCAGGTTTTTTAAATGTGAAAAATGGGTTGGGGTGAGGAGAAAATTAAGGAATAATGTACTTAAAGAGCTGATGTGCAGAGAGCACTCCAAAAATCATATCTGTTATTATATATGAATGGCAATCAAAAATACTAAGATTAAGGCCGGGCGCGGTGGCTCACGCCTGTAATCCCAGCACTTTGGGAGGCCGAGGCGGGTGCATCACGAGGTGAAGAGATCGAGACGATCCTGGTCAACATGGTGAAACCCCATCTCTACTAAAAATACAAAAAATTAGCTGGTATGGTGGCGCGTGCCTGTAATCCCAGCTACTCAGGAGGCTGAGGCAGGAGAACTGCCTGAACCCAGGAGGCGGAGGTTGCAGTGAGCCGAGATCACGCCATTGCACTCCAGCCTGGGTAACAAGAGCGAAACTCCGTCTCAAAAAAAAAAAAGAAAAAGAAAAAGAAAAAAATACTAAGATTACAATATAATATGCAGCACATTATCAGCAAACAATCTATGCATTAAGATATTAATAAGAATCAGGTATGGTCTTCAAATTCTCTCTTGAGGCATAAACTTTTTTTTTTTTTTTAAATAATCTTACCTACAAGTTTAATGGTCACATTTTAACATCAAACACTGACTCAGTGTTCTGAGATCCCTGCTTGTCTCAGAGTCTTCAATTACCCCCCGACCCTGCCGATACGAGCCGAGTCCCAAGTGTGCTCCTTAAAGGCCAAGATGGTACGGGCTGCAGGACCTCCGGCAGTGGCCAGGCGGGGCTTGCTGCAGGGGAGCCTAACGGGCGAGGGCAATGTGCACCCGGCCTTGCTGTCCTGCCTGTAAGCAGGGGCTCTCCACGAATCTCTGCTGATGACTTCAGTGACACCTGCCCTATCTCCAGGCAGCACCCCTGCTTTCCAGTAGGATGGGGTTGTCAGGGACCCCACGACCTCTCTCGCCCCCCACAGAGGCTGAGACCTCTCAGGCCCACTGCTCCTGGGCTGGCCACAATGGCCACTTTCTAAATCTTGAGCCTATGTCCTATGCACTGGCCACACCTCTTGCTGTTACCTCATTCCAGAAGAGAGTGGGTCTGCCTTGCAGGTTTAACAGCCGCACGGTGTTGACGGGGACCAGCAGCAACTCCTGCAGGCCTCCTTCCACTTGGTGGAATCCTTCACCTGCTAAAATCCAACCAGACCTAAACGGCTAGTGGATATGAGCTAGTGGTTTGCTGCGAAACCTGTGAGGCCGTCCAGACGCTGACCGCGGATGGGAAAGCTGGAGGCAGGCAGAGGGAACAGCTCGGCCTTTAGGGTGTGGGGTGGCAAAAACTTGCTTTCCGGTGTCCTACACAAGGTAACTGGCTAGCTGCGGGGACAAAGCTCCAGAGCCACCCAGATGCCAGGACAGGCCAGTGTGAAGGGCCGAGGGGAGATGCCAACCTTGTAGTGTCCGTTGTTGGCAGCATCGTGCAAAGGCATGTCGTCGTCCAGGCCCTTGGTGTTCACCTCTGCACCTGCAGCCAGCAGCTGCTTAGCTTCGTCGTAGTCGCCCCGGTTACAGGCCTCGTGCAGCGCTGTCCAGCCTGCGAAGTCCTTGACGTTGACATCCGCCCTCTCGCTGATGAGCTCCTTGATGCGCAGGGCATCCCCGCGGAGGGCCACTCGGTGCAGGCGGGTCTCTCCTCGCTCGTTCCTCTTGTTCACTTTATTTTTGGTTTTTGAGGCGGAGTCGGGCGTTCCCTTCTGACACACTGTGGACTGGGAGGGCTGCTTTGGTGTTGTGTGCACTGGGCTGTCGGCAGACTCCTCGGCTGTCATCTGCATGAGAAGGGCCACCTGCTGGTGCTCGCAGAGAAGGTAGCCGGCTCGGATTCCGACAGCCCCATGCCAAGCAGCAGCGCGGCCTTCCGGGTGTCAGGCTCCTTCGTAATCCTCTTCCGCTCAGGGCCCTGCTTCTCTTTCTTCTTGCTTCTAGGCACCTCCATCTCATGGCATGGTGCTTCGAGGGGCGTACCAGCCTTGCGGCACCACAACAGGAACTGGGCTGGAGGCATCTGTGCCGAGTCCTTCTGCTCCGCGTCTGCGCCCGCGGTGGAGGACAGCTTCTGCGGGCCGGCTCGCCCCCTCGCTTCCTTCCCGCCGTCGCCACGCTCCAGCTTTGGGGTCTTGGTTAGAGAAGCTTTATCCTTTTTCCCAGTCTGCTTCTCCGCCGTGTCGCTGCTGAGGGAAAGGTCTTCCCGCTGTGGTGCTTTAGGGCACCCACCCTTGGGCATTGTCCTGTTCCTCACCTGATCTTCATTTACACGGCCCGCGCTTCATCATCAACCTTCTGCGATTCCGCAGCTGAGAGTCAGTGCTGATGAGGACGGTCTCTTAGATCCAGTGGAGGCGTATCCCGGAGCAGGGCTGTGCATCCTCGGGCTCCGCGGCGGGGCGGGGGCGCTGCCCATGCAGCCCGCGGCCGCGTTTTCCGGGCCGCGCGTCCCGAGCGGGAAGGCGGCGGCGGCGCGGGTTCGGACCCGGCGGAGCTGCGAGGGCCGGCGGGAGGCGAACCCGCCCCTCGGGCGCGCCCACGGCTCGGGCCAGCGCCGCGACTCCCGGTGTGGGCGCTACTGAGGGGCCGTCTGGGCGCGGGCTCGGCGGCGGCGCCTCCCCGGCTGGGGCCCTCGGTCCATCGCGCACCGTCTCAGGGCGGCCTCCGGCTCCAGGACCCAGCGGCGGCTGCGGAGGGCGCCGGCCGCCTAAAGTAAACAGTTACTAAACGGGTAGAAATAACCAAGATTCTAGAGGAAAAAGATGAGCTGTTGCAGAGATGCATATTCTGAGTTATTCTAAAATGTAACCTATTGAAAGTCAAAATTACAACGGGGTTTTAAAGAAACAAAAGCTAGTTTAATTTTCCTCTAAAAATAAGAACGAAAATAAGCTAGTCTTCCTAGCTTTCAACATCTTTGTTGAAAACAAGGAGACACTTGCTCTGTCAAATATTGAGAACTCTAAAATAGTGGGGGGTACTGATGCTGGAATGAACAGATCACTAGAACTGACTAGAAACAAGAGGCAGAGCCAAGTTCAGGCGGAATGTGCTGAATTGTTATGTTAACACTTTAATTCAGCAGGGAAAGGTTGCATTATGCAATGAATGGCATTAGGAAAACTGTCTACTTATTTTTGGGGGAAAAGTTACGTCAACGTTTTGTACTTTATCAAACATGGTAAAACATACCAAACACACTAAAACATACCAAACACACTAGTATATTGTATCAAACTATACTAAAGCTTTAAAAAATTATTTTTTCCTTTTAAAAACCTAAGGTATATGGAATAAAACATTAAAACTCTGAAAAGTTATAAAGGAGGTAATATAAATAAATTGTATCAAATTCCAGCATGTAGAGATAGACAGCCCTGGCTAATGTCTTTTTAGTCGAGACATGAAGGACTAAGAAAACAAAAAGCCAGATTGTAACACAACAGGCAAAGAGCTTTGAAGAAAAGCAGCTAGATATACAAAGGCCCTCGGCGGGGAAGGTCTTGTGTTTAAGGACGTAAAGTTAGACCAGCATGTCTGGGAGTGAAAAGGATATTGGTGAGATATGACATTGTGTAATGACCACTAATGAACTGTACAGTAGAAGTGGCTGTGTACATTTAGTAACTATTTTTTTCTTTGTATTTTAGCAACATTATTTTAAAAATCAGGGATGACTGTTGCATTCTTAATCAAATGCTCTTTCAGTGTCACTCAACTTGTTATGTTAATAGCCTTCTTAATATTGAACCATACTTGCATGCCCAGTATGAACTACTGAATCAATTTGCTAATATTTTATTTAGACTTTTGTAGTCACACAATTATTAATGAGGCTTGTCTACAGTCTTATTTGGGATGTGCCACCCTTCTTACTACGATTTGGCTTGGAGTAGAGTCCCTTCTAAACTTGTATTCAGTTGTCGTCAAGTCTAACATGTGAAACTTGTTGCAATTTATTTAATAGATTACAAGAGAATATTAAAAATATTGTGTAGATTTCTTTTTGTATAAATGTATTTACTTAAAGATTAGGTCTCACTGTGTTGCCCAGGCTGGGGTATAGCAGTGCCCACAGTTCACTGTAGCCTGGAACTCCTGAGCTCAAGCCGTCCTCCCACCTCAGCCTCCTGAGTAGCTGACTACAGGTGTGTGTCACCATGTCTGGCTAATTTAATATTTTTGTTTTAGAAACAGAGTCTTGCTATGTTGCCCAGGCTGATCTCCAACTCCTGGCCTCCAGCGATCTTTCTGCCTTGGCTTCTCAAAGTTATTTGGTTACAGTCATTAGCCACTGCACCTGGCGTTGGGATTCTTTTTATTAATAAAAATAGCTTCAGCAGGGTGCAGTGGCTCACACCTGCAGTCCCACCACTTTGGGAGGCAGAGGTGGGCATATTGTTTGGGTTTAGGAGTTCCAGACCCGGCCTGGGCAACATGACAAAACTCCATCTCTACTGAAAATACAAAATTAACTGGGTGTGGTGGCAGATGCCTGTAGTCCCAGCTACTTGGGAGGCGGAGGTGGGAGGATCACCTGAGCCTGGGAGGTCGAGCCTGCAGTGAGCCATGATTGTGCCGCTGCCCTCCAGCCTGGGGAACAGAGCAAGGCCTTTTCTCAAAAATAAAACAAAA